TTATTATTCTAAAGTATAATAATATAATCAATAAACAGCGGTAACTAATGCAGTTCATCTGACAGAACGCACATATTTTTGGTACCAAAATAAAATCGCTATACCACTATGAGTGCAAACCAAGATTTAATTCGTTATCAATGAATAAAACGTGGGATGATCGAGTTAGCAAGTGTCCTCGCCTCGGAATCAAACTGTCTATTGTGATCTATTGTCGGGACCAACAGGCGGATGCTCTCCATTAGATCAGATCCTCAATTTATGCGCTGCGCTCGCTGCACATTGGTGAAGGTACTTCAATCAAACCTACTGTGGAAAGATTGAATAATAAAAGCATTTTAAAATTGCTATCTGGAATAGTTTCTGAATGGAATTGTGCTCATTGACGTCATGGATTTGATATATGAAGTTATGTCTGATGTGCAGAAAATATCATTGTTATGATTTGCACCGTTCTGCATTGCGAGATTTATATCTATCGATGTTGCAGTAGGTTCATACCTAAGCATAGTATACGAGACGTAGAGGTATTTTGTAAACTATATTAAAAAAGATTAAGAAACATGCTGTCATAAAAACTCGTTACCATCAACCTACATGATACTGTAAATGATTGTGTTATCTCTGAGTTAATATATTTTTAATGTGTCCTAGCTAGCAAGTAGACAGAAATAAAATCTTTTGAGGACACGTACTATCGGCAAAGTTTACGGTAGTACACTTTTTAAACAAAATCCTGAGCCAAACTTGCTATCCAACGGGCGTTTTCCCTGTGGTTGTTCTCGCCGAGTGCATGCGAATATCGCCTAATGATGGTCGATAGTCGACTTTGTCGGCTGTACAAGTTACAACAACCACTGCTGGTATAATAAGGATGATAAGAATATGTGTAATAAACTTACCACTGCACATTGGTGCTGGAGTACACGGTATCACCAGCGGAGATCAAAAAGCCACCAGCTATCTGAGCAGTCAGGAGAGCTTGTGTGATAGCGCCATGCCAGATACTAGGCTCGAGGAAACTAGTCCAGTCAGAATTCGTTACCAGTGACGTCAAATTATCCCCGTCACTGATACAGGCCATAATCACCACAAATGACACTATCACTAACGGTCCCAATACGTAGAATATCCGTTTCATCAGTTTTACCGGATTGTAAAAACTGAAAAATACTCTGTTGATAAAATTGTTCCCATGTAAGGTTAAGTTGACATAGGTTAGTTACAGGTAAACCGTGCAATGTGCTTATTTATTAATGTATTGTATTAAGCGTATTATAGGCGTGATATTAGTCAAAACTGCTCACGATTAGTAAACATAAAAGATTAGCTGTTCATTCTTGGATTGAGACAAAAATATTATTTTTAATACAAAATGTTAGAGCGAAAAGCACCTACTGTCTAAACTATGAGTTAACAATATCAAGGAAATTAAGCTACTTACATAAAAGGAAATACTATCCAAAGAACCAATATAATTAGGGCCACAGCCAGGTAATATTCTGGTCTGTCTTCTATTGGACCCATGAACGTGTCTCTGAAACAAACACTTGAAATATAATAAACCAAAACAGTAAACAGGTATGCGAAAGAATGTCTTCGAGTCCTTAAAAAAATAATAGCTACAGGAGAAACAAGCAGATATGAATAAAAACATGAGCAAACGACTCAATATTTCGAAACGAAAAATTGGATGACAAAATTTTAATATAAGAACTTTGCATCTCTTTCTGTCAGTGAAATCGTAATTAGCATGATGATATCATATGATAAATGTAATGAACTTACTGGAGACACGTAGAAGCATTCACTGTATTCACATAGTCTTCCTAAAAACAAAATAGCATTAACAACAGTCACGAAATGAATTGCAAACTCAAAGCAATTTGTATTATAACTTTTGTCAGTCATGTTAGATTAATAAAATACGTTTAACGCCTTACCTTCAGCTGCGCGACAATCACTATGTTATTTTAAGCAATACTACCTACTCGTGAATATAGGCCCCAGGGTGGCTCGAAACTAGTTGAGTCAGCTCGCAAAACAGTTACGTGACTAAGTCGTTAAACATAATTTACTAATTGACTGCAATTTGACTATGGAGTGTAAGACTTACTTGATCCAGTACCAACTCAATACATTCCCAAAATGGCAATGAATTACTCAACGTGTATAGAAAATACGTCACAGTCATAGCCAGGTATATCACCGAGTATACAGAACCAAGGAATGATATTAATAATCGCATGTAGCCCACACCTGAAAGTCAAAATGTGTCATTGGTATATCAAATATATTTTTATGAAACTCCCCCCCCCTCCCAATCTCCCCAACCCCTGAATCTCCAATAATCCTCAAATTTCTAATCCCTAACAGGCCGGTAACGCACTTGTAACGCCTGGGTATTCCAGGAATCCATGGGCTCAAACGAGCTATTAAAAACGCAATTTAAAAAATGTACACAATGGAACAGCAGAAGAATTACAAGTGCGTAACCAGCCTTCTAGGGGTTCAGGGCTTCAAAATAGGAGTGTGGGGAAAATGGGCCTCCGATAACGTGACAAACACGGCAAAACACGCAAGAGTTGTTTTCGGCGATTTTGTATGAGACCGTGGTATCAATGGTCGAGCTGACCTATTCGTGCCGAAGCATGGCTCTCTCACACTTAAATGTAACTCTATCATCCATAACAGTGCACTGCTAGATCTCGGGTCTCCTCTTCATAAGAGGGGTTTGCCTTAATCTCCAAGATTTGCAAAAGAGTTGCAGATTTGAGATTTATCAGTATTGCTGCCTAGTCAGCTCTTACGTCAGCCACAGGAAAATTTTGGGTGATGACAAATTCTACTTAGCTGTTATATTCTTATTATCACTACACGGCAATAAACCAATACAATTAAAGAAAGTAAATCAGGACATTATAATAATATTTAATAAGGAAATTTTTACTACTTTAATAATACTTTTTATGACCATGACCAACTTCGATTTATTGCTGTTTAAGAGTTAATTTATTTTCAAAACGCAAAGATCGATATCAAACCTGCGTTATGACCTAAACATTGATATAAAAATTAGGGCATCGATATTCGTGAAAACGTATCGATTAGAAATCAATTTTAGGAAATATTCGAGTGTCACTATTAAATGTAAAATCTTTGACGTCACGATCGATATAATTAGGACTTAAGACTCGATCGACGTAGAAGAAAGAGGTAGATTGGAAATTTAGGTGCCCGAAATTGAACAAAAATAAATAGGCTCGTTGATAAAAGACTTCGGCAAAGACTTTCTGACTGATTGACTGACTGACGTCAGTTGTCAGTTAAAGGTTGATGATGATTATGACGAATTGATCCAATAAAGTGATTACATTTTTGAAATACTAGATCACGGAAAAAATATTGAAGTGTAGCATTTTATGCAAAAAATGTCGTTCAGAATCGTAGAGAAGAACATCAGAATGTATAAATACTCAAGAATTTGATTCATTTTGTACAATAACTTATAATAATGGGATAAGAAGCTATTTCAAAAGATACACATACATGGCATGTTGTACCTCTTTCAGTATTTATAAATATACATGTCTATTATTAAATACCATGGTTACAATTTAACAATCAATTACAGCAAGCCATGAATTCATATTGGAATGAAGGGATCTCGATTGTGAAAGTCCGGATTATGAAAACCAGGATCATTATAATTAACTTCGAAATATCACGCTCAAGAAGGTGAAAAGAAATCAAAACTTTTAAGATGCTAAGCAATTGCATTGACACCATTTGTGACCTCAAAATCAGTTCACAATCAACAATGCACCTCCAGTAATCCCACCAGTGATATGAGTGTCTATGAGCAATGCTGATATACCAATGAGTGATGTGTTTGCTCGTTAGCACCAGTGGCGTGCAGTCCATATAGGCAAAAAGGCTTTGCCTACCTTACAAATACCGTGAATAACACTACGTAATAAAAGATATAAACATTTTAATTTTACTACAGAATACTAAAATAATAATTATAATAAAATTAGTGAACGCCTAAAATAAATAGTATAGCAACAATGATGGCGCGCGATACGTGTTGCATTTCGCCAGGCGTACCGTATATAGCTGTAAACATTAACGCGCGAGGCAGGCACGCGGTTCCGTCGCCTGCAGGAGTAATCAATAAGTTGATGTAATACTTCACGAAAACAACGAGAGATGGCACTGTTACAAAGAATTGACGAAAGATTAAAAACCTCATAAGTTGAATTATGTTATGTATTTACGATGAGTTTAATCATAATACAATATTATGTTGCCTACCCTGTTCTAAAACCCTGTGCACGCCACTGGTTAGCACCTATCCCTTAAAAAGATAATCCTCAATTCCTTACCTCTAAAAAAAGGAACAGCCCTCCACACTCCCACGGCATCTTGCTGGCTTAGTTGTCCCACTGCTAGCTGCAGCAATGCTAGCGGTAGGGCTACGACCAATAATGACAGAGTGACTGCAAGTCCGTACTGCAGCCCTCCATGGATGAACGCCTCCCGAGGAGCTCTCCACGTGGCGTGGAAGCTCACAGCTACGGCTGCGGTGCACACGTGAGCCCTGAGCAGTGGCCAGCTTATCCATTCCTGGAGACATCAGGTTTTATGTAATTTTTGTTGATTTATTTATATCAGAAGGTACTTGTAGTGTTTTGTCCGTGACGTCGCGCGTTTTCAATTTTATCGTTTTTGGAGTAAGTAATCCGAGCACGGGTTCCATTTGAGGTCACGTAGACTACAAAAGTGACGAGTGAACTCACCTCCATAATATGTTTACGTCACGTTACGCACAGACCGTTTGAACAAAATACTGTATCAATGAAACTGACGTCGACACCGTCAGTAACTCCTGCACACACTACACTGTCGGACCATTTTAGGAGCGGACTAGGGTCTTTCTCTATAGAGTTAGGACTAAAATAATTCTTTCGAGAGTATAGGTAATAGGAAAGAGGTTTTCCGGAACTACGTAAACCTATTGTTTTAGCGAACGACCAACCAATTGTTTATTTGTTTATATTTACATAGGTAGAGAATTTAGTAATAACATTAGGAGCGAAGTATGAGTGTTCAAACAGCCGTTATGCTATACTATTCAAACAATATTTCTGATGGGATTGGATAGTGGACTTTCTTTGGTATCAGTTAAGCAAACAAAGACTTTATTAAATTGGAATATGGGTGGTTTCGCAATGTATTATGTTGATGTAAAGTTCAATTTGCAAATAAAATCTAATAGGTTTCGTCCTGTCTCGATCATTCGAATAGACAGCGTAGGTAAAATACGTATCTGGTTAGGACTGAATGATGATATAGTGGGCAACTTCAATAACAATAACGTCATGTTCCTAATTCCTTTAAATAAAATCTAATTACTATGTTAATGAAAGAACTACAAATCGAAAACATTTAAATTTCGTTTCAATCCTAGTAACTTGAAATAAGTTTTCATGAATGGTATTAATTATATCGGAATGTGCAATTGGGTACAAATCCTAAAAATATTTGATTGACAATTTATTATGCAGAAATCTCGTTTATTGTTTATAAAGCCGGTTATTCGTCGAAGGAGGCAAAGATTTAGTTATTGAAATATTTTTTTTTATAAAGCTAGATTATTTATTGTTAATACCAAAAACAAACATTGCAATTAATCGCAATCTCAAATAAATTACAGAAGATGATTCATTATGGGCTGATAGCAAACAATAATAATATGACTCATTGCAAAATTTCATTAACACCTTTCTTATCAGAATAAACAAAAGCTCGTTGGACGGAATATTCTCGCTTTTGTGGTTTAGTAATCTAGGTAGGTAAGTCTACCTTGCACTTTCCCATCGATTGTAAGGTCTAGAGGTATTAATTTTGATCGTAACAATCCGAACCGATATTGTATTTTTTAAATAAATGAGTGTTTATCACAGACATGGCAACATAGGATTTGACACAAATTACTAGTAAATTAAGCTTAAAATCAAGCTAAAACTGCAACACTTGGTTCGCAAAAAGATTCAATCACACACACAAAAGATTCATTCACAAAACCTAAATAAAGTAATAAAAAAAAAAACAAAGAATATTTAAAAAGCAGAATTTTCGCAAATCCTTTAGACCTTTATTTCAATATCGAATAGAAAAAGAAGCACGAAAAGTCATCCCACATGAATTTCCAAAAATAATCTGAACCAAAGTTGAAGATAAAAATATTACAACAAAAAATAGATAAAATACATTCAATGTTAAAAATAACTGATAGCTTTTTTTAATAATATTTCGTCAGATTAATACTAAAAGGTAACTTAGCAACGCGAAAACAAAACAATAACAAATGGAGCGTACCTTCAGTTTGTAAGAATCGACCATCTCCGACCGGTTGCGTCCCGTTAATCCACTAGGAGTTCATAACACCGAGGTCTCGCATCAACACTACTGTTGACATAATAGCACTGCACCAGAAATTGAAAGATTTAGCAACGTTCTAGATAAACGGGAGATAAAACGGCATATCTGGAACTATTGGGCGACACAATCGATCTGTGAAGTCGGCTTATCACCAACGCAGTTATTCTCAAGTGTCCTCCGTTATCACGGACTAACCAAGATACTAGCACCGACTAAGTTTCTGACTCACTCCACGGTATTTAGAAAGTAAATAAACGATATTTATGTTTATATTTTCTCGTACAATGCAATAGTTTATTGTTTATCAACATTCTGCTGTGACCTTTTGTATGGATCATGAAATGTACCTTAGTTTAGCTAAACATTACAGTTTAACTGTTCGCCCAATGTTATCATCATGAGACTATTCTTTGTTTTAGTTTCAGACTACAGATTTTCCGAAGTGACCTCTCGTTTGATTAATTAAATTCAAAACATAAGTGTATTTTATTGATTCAAACCTGACTGATTGCACCAGTTAGGTAGGTAGTACAATACCTGTTGGTTTTAAAAATAACTATAAATTACTTGCATACTTTTCTTAAATTAAGGGTTTTACGGGAATTCGTACCTAGACGTCATATTCAATGGCTTGATTTGTATAATAAAAAATCCTTACTAATATTATAAATCGGAAAGTGAGTTTGTTTGTTTGTTCCGCTTTCACGCCGTAACTACTAAACCGATTGCTTTGAATCTTTGCAGACGTAAAGTTAGAAGTCCGTATTAAATAATAGGGTACTTTTTATTCCGGAAAAATTGATATTCCCGAGGGAAAACAAAAGTATTGGTATAGATGGCGCTGTATGTATTGATATATGTCACATAGGCTTCTTTTTATCCTTTTGTGACGTGAGCGAAGCCGCGGGTAAAAGCTAGTAGAATATAAATTAAAGAGCTACACTGAATTCGATATCGCTAACTACCACATCGATAAAGAACTGCTCAAATAGGTAAACTTCAAATCTTTGTTTTGATTAAGAAACTACACGATAATTTCTTCTAATGAGTGAAATTATAATAAACGATCTATTAATCCAAAATTTTAATAAGATCGAAGTAAGCACGATAGGCTTTGCATCAAGCTTCCTTGTACGTTACGAGTGGTATTCTTTGACAAGTTTGTGTTTCCTTGAAAGGTCTTCAATGCCCGTGTGAATAGGATGCCTATGGGTAGACGTGCTCTATCATCGGCCGCATCATCGCTTACCACCAGGTGAGATACTGGTCAAACGTCGGCCTATCAAGCATAAAAAAGGAATTCGATATTAGTTGTTGGAAATTCTGGAAAAAATCGAAATCGATAGAATTTTAGATTAAAATGCGTCATTAATTTCGATCGTATCATGCAAAACGTGGTGTTTTAATTATGCAAGCAGTACCTAAGTGCCTTATTCGTGCGTTTTTCAAAGTATCCAAGACTCACAAGATTTCAGCAAAAGAAATACTTTTTAGGATTCTTATTAAAAATGCTGTTTTCGAACTTGCTTGAGAAGCAGGTGATTTATTTTTACATTACAACTTTCGTATTAATCATTATGTTTTCGACTTACTCACGTAACTGTTTGACGGGGAACTCGACTTGTTTCAAGCTATGATGGAGGCTCATATTCATGAGCAGCATTCCGCGATCAGCGACGCAGCGAGCAACAGCGAGACAATCGCCAAAAACATAATAATTAATCAAGTGGTCCATATTTTTCTTCGCTTTTTCACCTTTATTATATCTTTCAATTTGAATTATGTTGAATGTAATTCTCATATTACGTAAACCATAAGAAGGATACTTCTTCAAACATTTGCATCAAAGGACACGTTGATAGTAGAAAACGAATATAAAATTGTATTTTCTTATCTGCAGCGTTAGGTTTCAAATGCCTCGTCAATGTCGCACTGCATTAATTACCTATGTATTAACAACTGCATCTTCCTAGCGCAAGTGATCCTCTAACATTACTACAACTGTAGGTACCTACACACTATGTGGTGCCTAGTTACTCCATATATTTTTAACGTGAGAGTGTCATACTTCGGAAAGAGTGGACCAGCTACACCTAAGATGACCGGAGTGATGGCTGCCATGGCCTCACTAAAAACCAGCGTGATGCAACGCTTGTGTTGTGTTCCGTTATGTGAGTTACCGCACGTCCAATCCCCATATCCCTAAATACCCGGCAACGCACTTATCTGGTATTGCGGGTGTCTAACACCGCTGACTGCTTACCATCAGGTGATCTGTTTATTCGTTTGCCGATCTATTCTATAAAAAATGTTATCAATCGGATGCAATATAGAGTGATACTATTGAGGCGTAGGTAAGTCGTTCTTGCCATCATCAGTCCGCTCGGTAGCTCGCTACATGACTCTAAATTAATGAAGTAGTCACAGTAGAGGTCTAAATCCAGAACAAAGGTCTCTCTTCAGTTTCCTTCATCCCCTTTCCCCAAAGTTCTGGATGCTAAGAACTTTGTGGATGCCAAAAGATCTACTAAGGAAACTTTCTGTGCCTATAAGCATATTATATCAACGTCAGAGAAATAACTCATAACACAAAAAAAAGAAATTTTATTTACCTATAAAATTTTAGAAAATTGCTATTAATAAATTGTTAGGGAGCACTAATAATATGTCTAAATATCCAAGTAATGTACGGACTGACGGTCACCATACAATTTTGCTTATTATTGCTGCTCAGGATGCCGATGATTCCCGATCCATGCAAGGGCGGTCTTCCCGAGTCTCCGACGCACCGGGTACAGTGCCGGCTGCAAGCGCTGCTCTATACACATTGGCGGGTGCAAGTGGTTTGGACATTCCACTACAATCAAATTCAACACCTTCAGCGGTGGAGGTCGCTTTTTTGCATTCGTAAATAGAACACTAACATCGTATCTGCGCTCTTTCTGCCCCTGACCGCCATTAAGACCACTGCACTCAACTTCGCGTACTGCTGTAGCGATATCACCTCGGTGTTAAGCAAGCAGATGTCATTCTCAATGAATACTTGCTCTCCAGCGATAAACCAAAGGCTGGGTGTTTGTGAAGACTTAATATTTCAAAGGTTCTCTAACTAGATGAACTAGTGGGGGGTATGACACTATCCATACATTCTGTATCGCTTCCTCCAGACTACCGGTCATCAAGACCTCTCACTACCACAATGTTCTTGTACTTGATACTAGGATGATTCATACCTCTCCAGGAACTGGTCACTCCTCTCCAGGTGGGAGTCAGCCCTGACGCCGTACACATTGTGTGGTTATATCGAGGCTGTCTGACTGCACTTACGTTCGTGAGCACCACCTCTGTCTTTATAACATAACGCAACTCATTCGTTAGAGCCTGTTTACCTCCTATAATACGTAGCCCTGATTGCGCTATGTGCACTTCTACCATAGAAAATAATAATACAAGTTATACATATAAATCGCAATAATTCATTGTTTTGAATTTACTGATTGATACATAGTTATACCGTAACATTTTCATTTATGAAATTTATGTCAACGTATTGTATGTTTTGTTCCAATATTTTCTAAGATTCAAATTTATTTCTACAGCACGCTTTTATAACACGGTCGTAAATGTTCCCCAATATCAACAAATCCGTGAGTCTTCCGGCGAAATGTATAGTGGCGTGTACATATTATTCTCTTACATATTACTGCAAGTTAATTGCGGGCGGTCAGGTGTAAAAATTATCAATAGTGTTATCGCTAAAGAAGATGAGTATCCGTTCATTGTAAGATTGGAAAGAAGAATATTAATTACATTTAATAATAGAATTTTGGCTGAAAACAACGTGCACATCTGCACGTGCACAGCTCTCAGCCGCTCATTGTTGCTAACTGCCGGCCACTGCCTCAAAAGCGTAGGATTCATTAAAAACCTCACGAATAGCCTGGCCGTCCAACCAGTCGTACGATACGGCGCTGGAGGTAGTAAATTGGCAAAAGTGATGTCAGTTATCCACCACCCAAGCTTCTATGACCCTGAACCGAAAATACAAAGTAACATTGGGTTGGTGAGAACACAACTAATTGGACTGAATCAATTCGCAAAGCTAAGTGAATTAGATATGATTGGTGTAGGAAACCGGGTGATTGCTCTAGCTGGATACAGAGCTATCAAAAAGTCAGTGAGAACAGAAATGGGCAGAGTGTATAAGGCGTCACAGTTACAGGTACTGAGATTAGTTGTGATGCCGCATGACAACCAGATTGTATCGGGACATCCGATGAAGTGTACACCGGTATATTGCTTGCCAACTTCAACTACATGTGATGGAGACTCTGGCGGGCCATTACTGCACTTCACAGGAGTAATGGGCATCAGCACCACTAGTCTGGAATATATCAAAGGTTGCTCTGAACTAAACAAAACTCAATCGATTGGTATGGGCGAAATCATTGCCCTAACGAAGCCACATATGAAATGGATTAATGATAATATAAAACGAGATGACCAGATGCCTGTATGAATTTAGAGGTATAATATCTCGCAGTGAATTCATACGTAGGCTGTGAAGTGTTTCAAAAATAACATTAATAACTGACATCGGCCATCACGTATACCTACACATGTTATTTCCTTGATTTTATTGTGTGATAAATATCCACTGTGTCGTAAAAATGTAGTATTTTATATTTTTGCAAATAAAATAGTTTCGAAATAAAAATACTCAAAGTACGAATAAGTGTGATTTCCGTAGTGCATTACTTTGGAGCAATTGGCTAACATGTTTCATTTTAGTTTTCATTATTATCCTGAAAGGTTTGTATGAAAGAAAACGATTAAAGGATATAATAAGAAAATTAGACTGCCTCGTTGGCCGACTGCCGTACAAAGGGTCCCGGGTTCAATTCCCGGATCGGGCAAAGTATTACTGGGTTTCTTAAAAATCTCAGTAGTAGCACAGTCTGGAAATGTGCCCGGTATATGGCAATAGGCTCTATTACATGGGACTTATAACATAAATAGTGAAAAGTGGGTGCTACATTGTACAGTGGCATTAAGTGCTAAAATGTGCACCTCTGCTTACCCCTTCGGGGATAAAAAGGCGTGATGTTATAGGAAACTTAAAAATGTTGGTACAGTAGCGGCATTTGTTGCCACATATAAAAAAAAGATAGAACATTGCGACGACAGTTTTACCAAAAATGCGTTGTTTGTACCAATAGATGGCGCGCTTCACATAATCGACGACGAATGAACGCTGTGTTCATTTGTCGTAAAATATGCAAAAGCCTGGCAAATACGAACACACGTGGTCGAAACATACTCCCACCACCGGAGAGAACTTTACTTTAGGGTCAATTTATACTAGGGCAGAGAAGCGCATCGAAGCGTCTATTCAAAACTGAACATAACAAATTCAACCTTAAGCCAACAACGTAACGCAGGCATTGCGTCTGAGAATTTAAAAAGACGCGCGCATTTTTCGGAATTCGTGCGTCTGCGCGTGACCAATGATGATTGGTGCGCGCGCAATCTCGCGTATCCACGAGCCCACTAGCGAATGGATTCGGACGAAAAATTAATTTACTGGTGCAAAAATATGAATGCCTATATAATCCATGCAGTTAATGCCCATTACCTACTACTCGTCAAAGAGTGTCGTCGCTTTAGTTGTTAAGAATTTGACGCTTCGGTGCGCTTCGACTCTGCCCTAGTATCACTGATTATACGATCTCCAGCCACCGTAAGACGATCTCAGGCCACCGTAAGCGCGGGCCTGCGTCCGGCGAGCATGGGTGGCTCAAACAACGGCGCATCGCGTTCCGCGCGCGCCTCAAAGAGCCATCAGACCATCACAGATGGAGCCCAATAGGGCCGATGCCGATTCGGAGTCGCGTAGAACCTAACGGGTAACCGGGGCTCCGGCTCGACGTGCAGGAGAAATAACGGTAGTCAGTAAGAGTCTGACACTCCCTCCCCGCCTCACCCAGGCGGGAGCGGGCATTCGATGATTTTCACCCCTTAAATAAAATGTATCACTGATTATATGGGATGCACCTGGCTGTATATTGGATGCACCTGGCTGTATATTCAATGACTTTCTTTGAGATATATTATAATGACGAGTATGATAGCAAATAAAACACAAAACCTGGGTTTTAAGCTTTATTGTAAAATAATCATCTTATCAACACTAAATTCATTAACTACATGAAAAGTTGGATCTAACGTGCAATTATTGATAACACATAATATTATTTTCTTGTGTATACTGCCAATAAAAGTACAATTATAATTATACATCAATATTTTCATATGATGACCTCAATGACTATTCAAGTGAAACTAATTGTATGAAAATGCGGGATTGAGAATCGTCATGGGAGGAAATAGAAGTTTGTACCGATGATAGAAAAGACAACAGACAGGAGCCCTCCCTGGTTCGTGTAACACTTTAAGACTTACTTGTTGACATTCATATCCCTTTATTTTATTCGTTGACTGCGTGTCATCAGTTAACATATCACAATGACGTTCACATTTTCAAATAAATATAAATGATTACAAGTTTGAACTAAAAAAGGCTATTTAAAAACGTTTTACCTAAATAAGTCGTTAAAATTAAATTAAGTACGATATAACATTGTAAACTCATCATCAAAAAGAGATTCGATAGTATCTATCTAGTAAATAATAAATAGTTTCATTTAAATTATATTCTTACGATTATTTGACTAAGGTTGATAATACAATAATAATATCATGCACTTTATCAAGTTTTCGCTCTATTCGCTTTTACATTTCCGCAGTATTTAAAATACTTTTGGGCTGGAACTTTGTGCCCCGAGCGACGTGTTAGAGATATTGTCCTGACATCGACCTTTGCCTCAATCCTTCAAAATATTGAACACCATGTACTTTACAAATTCGTCCCCAATAAACATTTTTATCATCATCGTTCGAAATTCCACTATCAAGTCTTCAAATGCAGTCTTATACTAAAAATATTTTCGTTACAACATTTTACCAATTCGCTCCAAACTGAAGAACTGAGAGTGTGATTTTAGATTTGTATTGTATGTACCAGTGTAAGCCCGCAAAATTATATTCCAATACTGAGGAGAGTACACATACTAACATCCATGTAAGTTTATCTTTGTAAAGAATGTGCCGAGTGGAGTTTAAAAACGCACTTACATTATATAAAAATTTTGAAATTTAAACTTTGATTACTTATATGCGCATGCGACGATGTTATGTAATTCAATATGGCGAACGATCATTATTATTGATTTATTGAGAGGCTCAAGTTGCATAATAAACTGCACTCGGCACTCCACCTTAATATTACCAATTCGATTATTTGTACAACAACAATAGAACTCTGCTATTCCTACGACATCAATGAATGTAATAATGATTAAATTAATTTAAAATATATTTGAGTATAAAGCGTAGTTTTCAATAAATTAACTATTAACAAAGAAAATATATCAGCATAACCACAACAGACTATACTATATAGGATCATGACTTAGACCGTCCGCAGTACGCAAGTTCCCGGTGCCTTAGGATAACAGTGGGCGTCCACGCAAGCAGTGGGAGGAGCATATAAAACTCTATCACAATATTATACATACATCTTAAAACCCATAATTAGAAACAAGCTTAGTATAAATAAATTCCTTATTTCATATAAAATATCACGCAAATTATTTCAAGCATTCCCGAAGCGAGTATTCTTCAGCATTTGGACCGAGGCAAACGAGTTTGTAATAAAACTGCAAAAATATTATACAGCGTTACGGTCTTATACTAAGTTTATCTACTTACAACAGCCAGAATACTGACTTGTAGTACGTCAGTCTAAGGATAGATAGACATCCTAAAGATATGGACTAGTGTAGGGGGAAGTACGGCAACACACTGTAAGTCACAACAACTTATCGGACATATAGACTATTGAGCTAACGTTTATAGAAAACATTCATTAAAATGTGAACTTTATTCTTATTATTTTAAAGTTTATTATTGACACATAACCAGAGATAAAATTACACATATTCTTTACGGTAGACAACACTGAGACGATGGAGTAGGACCATTGAATATAATGGTATATAATAACAATTAAATATTAAAATTATAACTTGAGTAATTATTTTACAACATATTATTTTTTCGTTAATACCAACGCATTATCCAGTTACTTTACAAGTGGATCAATTCAGTTGTGTCATTTTATTCACATTTGTTCATCCTATTCGGTAAGTGTCTCATTTATATGCGTATTGTCATGTAAGTATCATGCGCAACTCATGCGCAAATTTGCGCAACATTGGTTTAATTAATGAACTGTCACAATTAATGGCATAGTCCTTATTGCCTAGCGATCTATCAAGTAGATTATAACGTAATGCCGTATTTTATTTACTTTTGTCTTATTCCGTGAGTTATGTTAAAACATTGTATTTTAGCGGTGATGTCGTAACACTGTAATAAAAGTTAACGTAAACGCACAAGTCTGTATTCCCGGGAAGTTCAAGAGTCTTTAATGTTGATATAATTTAGTGGAATTTCTTTACACTCGAAAGCACACGTTAGATGTTTCACCAGAATTTTTACATTGTTGTAGAGTCGACACGTGTGTTAAAATGTTTATTGGCCAAGGCGAATGGTTCCTGGTACCCTATGTTCGCCAATGGCACACTCCCTTGTTCAGAAACCTTGAGCATGCCTACATACGCCGCAGCCGAGTGCGAACTCCTCTCCGGTCGGGGGATGTTGCACGTGCAAAGGGCACTCGTCTGATGAGCCTGGTAGTTGCTCGCCTTTAGGACCTACAACACCAATATTCAATTTGTAGCATTATTCGGTATTTATTTCATAAACCTTAATCAAAAAAGCACCTATCCTTTAATCGGTATTTATAAAATAAGGGCTTAAGAGAATAATAGAACGGAAGCAGTCATTGGGATGATGCGCTTGCGCATACAAAAAAAAATTCAAAATATTGTATTTTTGGCTTCCGTTGCATCAACAACTTCATTTTTAATAGATTTTTTAATCTATAAAGATTTGAAAAGGTTAAAATTTTAACGGCTGTTGCTTATAATTTCATAAACTCTTTTAATTTACATTATGACAAGAAAAATCACAGTATTTACCTTAGAAGAATCCTATTTTAAATATTTATCTCTATATTTAAAATAGGATACTTTTAAGGTTTAAAAGCAATTTTTCCTCAATTCGACATCATTTTGTACTTACCAGCAGGACATTGCGGCAGCAGATGCTTGGGAATGCTGGTGACACGCTGGAAATCATCGTGACACGCGTTGCAAAAATGTGACGTGCCGAAACAGAAGAACACAGCCACCTGTAATAATTACACGTCCATGGTTATTAAGACGGTAAAGGAACGAACAGCACTAGAGAACATGAGCCCCACAATATATTTATAATGTTATTGTTAGGAAGTTCGGTCACCTCAACGGGAATAATAACACGGCCTCACATAACACTTGCGCTGTGTATCGCCATGTGAATGATCTCTGGTATTGCCATAATCAGCATCGATTGTTTACCATCAGATGATCCGTCTGCACGTTTGCTGACTAATTTCATAAAATAAAGAACGAGATTTTACTGTAATGTTACTCACAGAACAGCAGTATCGACACTTGTACTCAAGGAAGTCGGCGCCATGTTTGGGGCAGGTCCTAGCACCAGCGACGTCACTGCACGCTCCGCAGACCAGCTCGTTCGGTTCCCACCAGCCACTCGTTTCAGCCTCGCAGCGAGCCAGACCACCGAAATAAGCCTGCATTAAAAAAATATTACATTTTATAAAGAAGGGACGGCTTACATACGTGAATTATTCGAGAAAAGCTCTACTAGTTTCAAGTGACACCGGGACTCATATTCATGAGCAGCGTGCGCGGAACTACGACACAGCCAACCTGAGAGTTCAAAGACAAAGCATTTATTTCAATAAAACCATAATTTGGTACTTTTGAAACGTCAACAAATACAAAACAATAGTCTGTCAGTCCGTTAGTGAAGCTAGGTGAAGCTAGGTGCTCATTCCAAAATGTAGATTCGAATGGAGAAGAACGAGCAGGAAAATCCATTCGTAACTCTTTTAACCAAGTATGTTCTACAATGTCTCTGATACATGTTGCGACTTGATGACTAAAGTCTAGAAGAGGTTTTCAAGGATAATGTACCTGAGTAAACCATTATTTTAATTCATTTAGTGTGTGTTATATTATTACACGATAGTTATTATACAATGCTTTCGGATTTACCTTCCCACACTTATGACACACGTAATACGCATATCTCTCCATGGCGTAGGTGGCTGGGTCGGGCAGGACTTTGCCTTTGGCCTGGCCAGGGAGCGCACAGCCCTCATACTCAAGGCGCATCAGAGCTTTGCGCTTTACTTCATCGTAAAGCTGTCTGATGGGGGTCAGGAGCTCTTCTAGGGTCCAGTGATTCATGTCCTCCTATAATGGTGAATAAATTAAATAGATTGTTCATCAAACATTATTAAAAAAAAATCATTTATTATTATTTTCGCTCAAGAGATGTCGCTTGTATCTTTAGTTTTTCGTCCAATAGGGAACTAGTTAGTGTCACACTGGACGTTCAATATTTTACAGCTGCACTCATTGGGCAAAAAATCTTGGATTTACGCCATCTAGTGACTAAAAAACGGTAGCACTCATTGGTTGTCACCGTCTAGCAGCACGCGTAAGGTTATAAAAACTTACCTTGCAAATCGGGCATTGTGAGAATGAGAATGTGATCCTGGGGCCTATCCATTTATTAGCCAGGACCTTTCTGCAGCAATGCAAGTGGAAAACGTGGCCGCACTTCAACTATAAATAAAAGAAAACATCTCTTGTATTCTTTTGCTTGAAAAACTAATATGATTTTTGTTACTAGAAGCAACCAACACTAATTGATATCCCTTCCATCAACTTCTCTCTTCTAAATATTATGGAAAAACTAAGATATTTAAGGTCATTTTAACTTTCATCAATCTATAAGTGACACCTAACAGTACAAGTAAGGAGTTAGTTTAGGTGATACATCACGCTAAGTAAGTTCAGATATGGTTTAGTGGTATTTAGTAAACGGTCATTACTGGTAGATGAACATGAATAAAACACGGAATTGTGAAAAAATATTTACTATAAAACTTATAAAGACAAATGACAATAATTTATTTTCGTGCGGGGGGCGCCCAGTTCGGTTGCAAAAATGGGTAATCGTATAAGAAACTAGAAGTGGAATAAAATCCATTGCAAAGGAAAGAGAATCTTATGCTGAAAAATATGAAAAAAACCAAATTATGAAGTGGGTGTGCGTTAGAAGACCAAAATTCGGTTTATGTTTGGTTTTCATAGTTTTTCACATAATTTCAAATTTTATTGAACGGTTTAAATTAATATACGCTCTTATTTTCTGAATTGCCAAACAACTGAACTTTTACATTCTAGCCACACCCACCCTTTTCTCGACCTCAGAATTTTTCTATATTTATTGTCTTCCATATTCTCTTTCCTTTATAGTGGGTTTCATTTTACTACTAATTTCTCGTTCGCAAATATTGTGCTATGGGACAAATGCGATTTAGCACTTGTCTACAGAGAAAGTACAAATCTAAATTATATGGGATTGATGTCAATTTTGACACTTGTCAGTGTCATCCCCATACATTGAGTTTTCTACTCTCTAAGTAGGCACACTTGTAAAATGCATTTGGCTATAACTGCGCGACTGGTTCGGTATTAAGTATATGACTAGTTATCCAAGTGAGGTACGGACTTAACGGCAACAAATGTCCAACAGTCGTGGCGGACGTGATAGTAGTTTGAATACAATGTACGTTGGTATTCTTCCCGATGAGTCCAATAACACCAAAGAAGGATATGAGCGGCCCTCCAGCATCCCCCTTGCAGAGCATGGCTCGTTCAGTCTTGCAGTGAGCCGCCACACATATGACCGGGTACATCTCGTTATCTGGAGGACATTCAACGACCAACACGTGCAATAATTGCAACAATCTGGGCGCCTTACTGGTGTCCCCATCGGGTTGCCTTAGACCATAACCGAGAATTTTCGATTCATATCCTATCAAAGAAGTGAAGTCTCCGCTGCCAACCTTGCCGTACTCTTGGAGTGTGATCTGATCAGTTTGCAACATGGCGATGTCGTTTTTCACGTGAATGTTCTCATTGACGGATACGTCCCGGTACCCTGAATGTTTGTACATAGCCACAATGGCGTATGTCGTGGTCACGGATTTAGGATGTTGCGTTGTCGTGTAGAACGGTGTTCGTGTAGTTGTTGTTACTCTAATTGGTTCTGTTACTGGTGTTGGTTTTGTAACTGATTCTTGTTTAGGTTCTGGTTTCTCTTCAGGTACCGGTGCAATGTCTTCTGGTTGTTCCTCTGGCCCCTGTCTCGTTCCTTTGTTGGAATTAACCCGGACTACGGCTTTTCTTAGAATTTTGTTGGTTTTGCGTGTGAGATCTTCTAACTCCACAACACAATGTGCAGCAGTCAGTGTCCAGTACTCGGACAGAACGACGCCGGTACAGACATGTATGTCCTGCACCATGCTCCTATGATGCTTCCGCTTAGACGCCGCTATGGCTTCTAGTCTGACCACGAAGCGGTAATCAGTATCATTGACATCCTTGCCTCCTAACAGCCGTAAGTCAGACAGCACTTGCTCCGGTATAAATAGCACTAACAGTACAAGTATCATGACGATACTTCCAGTCGCTAAGTTATTGTACAGTTATCGCCACTGGGCTGTTTAACTTTTGAAACGATTATCACACAACAAATTTTATATAACCGAGATTTCAATTCAACGGTAATTCTCATAAAATAGCATTAAAAGTAATAAAATATATACGTCACTGATACTATCAATGCCAAATAATATTTGCTATTTCATGTATTGTGTAATGCCTTATGTGGATGTTTCTGGTAAATCAAATTAAATATGTTCTTGTTTTAGTTTTGTAGGATATAGCAATCTCAATCTACATAATATGTCAATCGACTTTTCATTAAGGCGCACGCGGATTAAAAATGGGCGATTTACAGTTAACTATAATGAAAAACTGTGCGCCAGTTGCAAACTAAACACTTGACCACTTTTTAGCATTAAAATATAGCTGTGTTTACAAAAGCGCGCCAAACTGAAGAAAACCTTAATTTAACTTTTGTGTCCCTTAATTTAACCCAGAAAACAGACAAAAAAATAATCGAAATTATTATCCTTACCTGAATAGCGGGGGCAGCTTGTAGAGGGTCAGTAAAGCAGATCATGCACATGTCATCCGCATCCTGCCGTAATGGCACTGCATCAGGAGCGCCTGCGCAACCAAACAGGCACGGCAAACACGTCCGTTCTGAACGGACACCGCCGCACAAGTGGTTGCAGGGTAAAACACGACTGCACGCTTCCTTGCCGTGATCCTGAAAGAAATCAAATATACGAATTAGATAATACTATGAAAACATACGTAAATACACTTATATGACCTACAATACGACCATTGCTACCAATCAGGACCACCTGATTGGTAGCAATTCAGAAGGGAGTGTAATCGTGTAAAAGAGCTCACGGAAGTCTTAAGAGGAGATAGCATTAGTAAACACTAGTTTTTCACCCGGAATAGCGCTAAATAAATCTATAAACAACTACAAATTTTACACAAAAAACGGATAATTACCTGGCATTGTTGGTCAGCACAAACGTTGCCAATAGCCAGTAGTCCAGAATTGCCTCTGGTGCCACAGAAGCGGCAAGTGCCAGCGAGACCAGGCGGTCCGGGTAGTATCGCAGAGCCTTCTCCTGCGGCATTGTCACATACTCCACTCTCCATTCCTCTAAACTCCGCTAACCCTTTGAAAGTTCGCCGATCAACCAGTAGGAGTAGCCAAAACAGCTTCGCTCGACCGCAACCCTCGTGGATGTCTATGCGAATAGCACTCTCTTCCTCTTTGCATATCTGTAAAGATGTTTTTGGTTATTTTTAACTCTTTTTTATAAGGTTACTTAGATAAATATAGATGATCTAAAAGAACCATGGAAATGACACCCATGACAAAAGTTAACATTTCATTTTAATAGTACATGTCCATGACCAATAGTCATGGCAGAATAACTAAAATGCGGCATAATGTAGAACGTTTTGCAATGATAATACGACTAATCGTTCAGCCACCGTATTACTAAACAGTCCTATTTTTCCAAAATGCTAGGCGCATTCTAGCCGTTACATCGAATACAATCAGCCTGTGAAATAAATAATAATAGTTTATAGTATTTAATTGTGGTGTGTTATGTAGTGTAAGAACGAAGATCTGTGAGTTTTCTTGGTACAAATGTGAAAAACAAACTGACCTGACGGTGATGTGTTCTGGCTGCCCTATTGAGATGCAAGAAGCGGTCGCACTCAGCGCAGAGTGGGCCGCAAGTTCGGCATTCGATGACGGCGGCGGTACTCCCATCGTCGTGGTTCGAGCATAATGGTCGCCCGTCAGACTCACCGCGACGAGACTCTCGCCCGTCACCAGAGCTGTTAATCCTGCCATTGAAGGTGGTATTGTAGATCACATTATTTATATGATTTTTAAATACCATACGCAAAATATTTTGAAAAGCTGGACATCGCGTGGCCTTATAGGTACCTATTCGCAGTTATATGATTATATGACGCGGGTTGAGCAAGTCACAGCTTATACTATGGCCGTCGCGTTAACGACACATACTGACGCACCATAAAATGCCAAGGCTCCTGCAAGAAGTCGTGAGCATTTTGATAAAAAATACAATAACACTCACATTTCGACATGAGACTGCTCACACACGCAGAGGGCAGCCAAAGCGACCCACACTGTGGGCGCTGCAATGCATCGTGTTGGTCTTCGATCAGCTTCAGAGAGTTGAGCCACTTGGGATACATACGTAGCTAGAGCGTTACGAGTATCCAAACCCCACGCTGGTGATACTTTATCCTGGAAAAAGAAATTGGATACATTACAAATCCAAGAAGGCAGAAATACGAAATTTAAAACATTTTTTCGTCATGAGTATCATTTTATTTATTTATTTATTTATTTGTTTATTTATTTTGGTTACGTTACAAATATTACTGATTAAATAGCTAAAGAAACATTTACAAGTGCAGCAATTAATTATAGGTAACACCATTACATGGATACTAATGGTCATAAAACCGATGGAGAGATAGCAGCGATAACTACACTAGAAAAAAAAGATAATTAAAATTTCTTGCACCTGCCTTCTTGGATTTACATTTTGACTTGCTGGTTCGGGTTTATCACCCTCGAAAACCACGAAAATGATAGCCATGACAAAAATTGCCACAATCAAGCACGCAAGAACAAATGCTTTATTTACTTTTTACAACTTACCTCAGCCATATCAGAGAGTAGCTTAGCGACTAGATGCGCATGTTTTTTGGTGGTCTCCCCTCTCATGAACCAAGTGGCAGGGGAAGCCTGTCCCACACTGCTGCCCATCATTACTGAAGCTGGAGTGGCACCGCTGGTACCCTTGACCTTCACTTGGACTGTGATCGCCTTTCCCAAGTAGCATACTAGATGATCTAAGAGGGTTACCCTGAAAATATAAGCAATTTAGGTGTGTGTGGTACGTAATCAAATTTCCAAAACTGTCATAATATGTGTAATACTTTAGGGCCGAAATTAATAACTGTCCAAACGAAAATCTGTCGATAGAGATCAACTTTTGACAAAATCTCTATTTATGTAACTAATGACAAAAATTGATTTTCGATTTGTTAGAAATTGATAATTTTTGCTAGTGGTTCTAAAGTTAGAGCAATCTAAAAAAGTAGTCTACTACGATGACGTCATAATCGGTATCGGCAGATTTTACAGAAAAATTCATAAGAAATTCGTGGGCACAAATGGACGGGCTCGACCGGAGTGATGCCACGGCCTAACAGGAAACCGGCTTGGAACAACACGCTTATGTTACGCTGCGTGAGTGAGATTTAGGGGACTTTAGGGATGGGGGATATCCCTGAATCCCCATTCCCCAATGTCTCAATCCCTAAAATACTGGTAACGCCCTTCTAACTCCCCTAGTATTACGAGTGCCCATGGACATATGGTCAGACTGCTCGATTACATTCGGAGTCGCGGAGAACCTAACGGGTAACCGGGGCTCCGGCTCGACGTGCAGGAGAAGGAACGGGGTGGTTTTTAGTCAGTAAGAGTCTGACACTCCCTCCCGACTCACCCAGGCGGGAGCAGTCATTCGATGATTTTCCCCCCTTAAAAAAAAAATACCACAAAAAAGTAATATAAAAAGGATTACCTTGAGTTCATTTCATTGCCGTAATTGACAGCGGCTAACATTTTCTGCGGTGGAATTTCTGTAATCATGCGCCTGAGCAGTGATATGACCTGTAAAGGAAATAATAAGTTTTATGAAAAAGTCGCCGTAGGTAATGATTTATTATTGCTTCATTGGTGAAATGTTATAACACGACTGCGGAGTTAGAGGTTTCGAGTTTGGCCTAGGCAAAGTATGATTATTTTGTTGTTCAATAAGTTGTCAATAATAAAAACATGGAGTCGGAAATACGCTTGATGACTGGCAATAAGCTCACCACCGAGACATGAGACTAATAAACCAACCAGTGGCGTTATGCGTGCGTATGCGCACGTCTGTCATATAGGGAAGCTACTCCAATGTATAACCTATCCAATAAATTTATAACTATTTACTGTGTTTGTTGGGTTTTATAAGGTTTAATAAGGAAGTACATTTTAATCAATATTCTTTTAATTACTCAAAACGAGGGTGAATCCTTTGGCAGAAGCTAGTGCGACTACAAATACCAGCTATTACTGACCTGACGTTGTACTCGTTCACTGCCTGTATGTAAGAGTGCCAGTAAATCTGCCAGTAACTCGGTGCGTTGTGCCAAGTGCGCTCGTCCTACGGCACTGCCACTGAGTGCTAACAGCTAAAACAATTTTATGAAGTCGTTAGTCAAACATATACATTGAAAGAGGGTGAAGGATTTGGATTGCAACCTAAAATAACGACCACGAATAGAGATAGTGGTTGTAAGTGGAATATGTTTGAGGCTAATTATTTATTAATTAATTACATCATAGCATTTTTTGTGACATAACCCGGTAAACGAGCGGTCGGATCACCTGATTGATGGTAAGCAATTGGCGTCGCCCATGGACACCCGAAACACCCGGGATGTTACAAGTGCCTTACCAGCCTTTTACGGCCTAGGAATTTGAGGATTGTTGGGGATTCAGGCATTGGGGAGATTAGGGGGGAGGAACGCAAGCATTGTTTCACGTCGGTTTTCTGTGATGCCGTGGTATCACTCCAGTCGAGCATAACTGGCGTAAACAAATTGTGTGCTACATTTCATATTTGTAATTCCATTTGTCTCTTTCAAGGGAAAACCTGTGTTTTTACTGATTCTAAACATTTTAATGATAAAGTTCTATATCAAATAATACATGATAAGACTAAAGCATATTATAATGTAAAAATGAAAAAAAAGATGTTACGGCTGCCGAGCGAATCTCCAGCTCCCGGGGCGTGGGTCGAGCATAGACTCCGCGTCGTTACTGAGAAAGTCGAAAATAGCAGTTACGCCTCAATTTTCGAAACTCTCAGTAACGACGAGAAGCCTGGAATGATGCATGATTGATGGCAAAACGTCGGGTACCTAAAATCTATAAAGGGGTTGAAATGTTAAACATAAGTTAAATAGTGTTTTGTAACAAAATATGACGGTGTTAAAGCTGTGATGGTGATTGTATTGCGCGATATCCTTACCAGAGAGAGCATTTCGAAGCAGTAGTTGTCCTGCTGGTGAGCTGGTGGTCTTGCATGTTGTTCCTCAGATGTTCGCTCGGCAGCCTCAGCGCAGAGCAATGCCGTCTCCCAATCATCTCGCACTCGTGCCGCCTCGCAGCCTATAGCTGACACTATGTGTGTCATTACCTGTGACAATAAATAATAACCAACTGTAGGACAGTTTCATTTTATATTTGTGCCTTCCTATAAACTTCGTTTCTTTGCGCTTTGTTGTAAGCAATTGGAGACTGTGGCGACAATGGCGCATACAATAATAAGTTTGATTATTTGCCACGAGATGGCGTAAAACCAAACTTACATCGCAGAACCAAGGTCAAAAATATTTACCGCGAGATGGCGCTTACTTTGTGCTTGTGATCATGAAACAGCGCAAACGTCGCAAGTTCTCTTATTAGGTAATTATTATTCCACAAACACATCGGAGCTTAATTTTAACACGCTTTAAAAAATATTCCTGAAAGAAGGTTTTTAGTATTCAGTCAAACTTAAGAACACTTTTCTGAGCCCGGGAAGCTGAGCTCCTTGAAAAACTTTAACCTTTAAAAACCGGTATCTCCATTCCGCCTGCCATGCGGACAAACTAAAGATAGGAGCCCACGGGATGTTGATGTAAAAACAAACTTGTTCACATGCTCCACAAATTCGTTTAAATCTGTTTTCAACAAAAACAACATTTTTCCCGAAGTTTAACACAAAAATATATACAAACACACAACAATTATCAGTACAACGGACTGAACCGTGCGCGTGCGCAGATGGAACTAATTTGGCACAAATAAATTTGGCTCTTTCAAGCATAAATAAGTCTGGTTGAATACATTTTAGAGTCAAATCGATTCCCCCTAGTCTAATTTCCATCCGCCATATTATACAATGCAAATACAGGTTCCTAAGTAGGTGGACAATGGCCACGTCAATCAAACGGGAAGCTATTGAAAAAAACCGGTTTATTGCTGAAATTGAAGTACATTTTGGAGGAATCTATACTAATATTATAAAGCTGAAAAGATTCTTTTCTTGTTTGTTTGAACGCGCTAATCTCCGAAATTACTGGTACGATTTGAAAAAATATTATTGTGTTGGATAGCCCATTTATCGAGGAAGGCTATAGGTTATAAAATATCACGCTACGATTAATAAGCGCCGAGCAGAGCGAGTGAAACCACGCAGAAGTAGCTAGTTTAAAATAAAAGGTTATCAGTGGCCTCTTTTGTAGGCAGTTTACCCACCACACCAGAGAACCTGCAATAAAACCACTTTATACGTAAGTAAACTAACCTGTCTCTGTAATGAAGTGAGTTTATGTCCTGCGAACAGTATGCCGACAACATGTTCCCGCAGGTCGCTATCATCGGCTGCCGCTCCATCTTCCACAGCGGCCGCCCCTTCAGTGCCCGAGTCGCTACCAGTCCGATCCCATTCCAGGAGTTTTCCGAACACCTAGAAGAATATAATAGTATAAATGAAAATAAATAATATTACATAAATCATAATCAGACGAAAAGACAATGAATTGGTTGGCAAGTTGGAATAGACATTACATATTGGGTGGATGGACTTAAGTCCCGCGGATGCCATCTAATGACCACAACAGCGAAAACATTAATTACATAAATACATAAATAATTTTTAATCTTTATTCAGAAATGTAAATGGACACAAATACAAAAATATACCTTGGGTAAGAAAACTAGATCTCACATGGTTAGGTGCCTGTACTAGGATAATCCTGTGTCACAGGCGAGAGTAGATCTAACATAATTATAATTTTATTGTAATACCTTCTTATTTCTACAAGCACATAACAAACAAAAATATATCAATTTACCTGTGAAGTCAGAAGTCGGAACACTCTCAAGGTATCAGTTTCTGAGAGTCCATGAAGAACATGCGCAGGAGTGGCGGCGGCTGAGGCTAGCATTGTCGGCGCGCCCAGTACTCGAACTTGTCGTACTCGCACGGCGGGTTCAGGGCCGCGTAGCTCACAGCGGACTCGAACTGATGTACTCGTGCCTCCTGCAAATGACATTTAAATTTATAGCAAAAACAATACCTACGCTAGAATCGTACGTAGCTTTGGGATATGCCCGTAGTATCTCCTGAACAGTGTTTGACCGGCAATTCACATGAAAATTGCGGAACATTAATTCGAGAAATTGTTAAAAACTGCGTGTTTATGGACTCACTATTAGACGGCATCACTGATAATAGGTACGGTAGTTGACAACTAGTCAAATTCAATACTTTTATCGAAACGTGAAAAACGATACCGTTCTATGAATTTTACACGAAATACCATCTTATGACGTCATAATATTTTCGGGTCAAATAGCACACTTATATCTAAAAAAAAATGTTAGAATAAATCGAAAATTAAGTATTTCGGTGTAACTATTTTTCAATATTTAATTGGACTGAAAATCAAAATAATTTATTTTTGACCCAAGATACTACCCAATTCTATGTCCAAGACTGATAAATGAATCTACAACACGTTTTTGGACTTCTGTAGCACAATAATTTGTCACTTTGTCGACCTCGTGGCACAAAATGCAGGTGATATAGGTACGATAAAATACTTAATTACAAGAATGAACATATTATATTATTATACAAATACAGTGTGACTATAAGTTGTGTACAATTTTGACTTACTTGGCATCGTGTAGCAAAGCCAGGTGGCAGTCTTAGGGTCCACCTCGACGTCTTGCATGTGGAACATCTCGCTGGACCCGCCGCTGTACAAGAACGATACCAGCAACGTCTTGTTCTGGAGGAAACGAGAGAAAACGTTACAATAGGAGGTGATAAAGCAGCAGCATTAGATTTACGTTTCAAGTAACAGTTTATTATAACATTTATTGAAAATTAATTATTCGACATTTTAGTACTCAACCTCTATCCCTATCGCTCTCTACTTGTCTATACCTCTGTCTCTATTTCCATCTCTACCATTGTCTGTTTATTTTTTTAGTTCTAATTTCGACTTTACCCCTACTTTAACTTGATATCTTTTCTCTACCCTGACTATACGTTGTCTCTACTTTGACGCTACCCTGTCTCTACATGGCTCTAACTCATTTCATCTTCTGCATCTACCGCTGTCTCTTCTTCAAATCTTCAAACTTTATCTATCTGTCTCTACTCCTCACTCTACCTATCTCTACTTTTGCCTCTACCCTGTCTCTACTTCTGTTTATTGTGTTGTCTTTATCTGTCTCTACCCCTAACTCTACCTGGTCTCTTAATTATGTCACCGCTGCCTCTACTTTTATCTTTACGTCTCTTTACCTTTGACTACACTTCTGTTTCCGCTGGTATCTCATCTTCTGTCTCTACCTCTGACTCTATCCTTGTATCTAGATTTTTGTTAAATCAGTTTAACTCTTAAAGTATAAATTGCTACAACAATTGCTTAAAGTATCAATAGGCTCGACTCTAGTGAAAAGTGGATGTTACATTGTACAGTGGCATTAAGTGCCGTAATGTGCAACTCTGAATACCTCTTCAGGGATAAAAGGCATGATGTTATATTATGGCAAAACCAATTATACTAAAACTATACCCAGCACTCACCACTGTATCCCTGGTATTGTCAAGGTGAACGCACAGGATATGCGGTCTATCATCAGGAGTACCACCAGGATATGTCATCTGGATCCACTTGGCCTTATTCCTATCCTCATCTCCTGACTCCCAAAAGGTCTCCGTACTGCCGTCGGTGAGGGCACCAGCCATTCCTTGGCGAGATGAAACACTGATGTCACACCAACCGGTCACGTCAGGACAAGTCCAAACGTAATTCTCCTAGAAATGGGGATATTTTTTGTTAGTATTTGTGATTATTTCTTATTTGGACAAAAGTATATGTTAAAAGTACGATCAGTTACCGGGGAACGTGTACCTAATATTATTTTAAACTATTCTAGAAATAAAAATGGCCTATGTGTTTGTGTTAGTACAGACAGACTACAGACCATAATGTACCCCTGTTTCAAATTACATCTCGATCCCTTCAGCTGTTATGACGCGCAAAAGTAACTAACACACTCACACATATACATTCTTACAAACTTACACATTCTTATAATATTAGTAAAGATTAATCTGACATGCTACCCAAACCCGATACAAAACACAGGAAAGATTCCAATTTCATAGAATAGAAAACTGTCTGTTTTAAATATATCTGTTTAAAAGTCTATTCAATGGGAGCTACTATGTCGCGGAGAACCTAACGGGTAACCGGGGCTCCGGCTCGACGTGCAGGAGAAGGAACGGGGTGGTTTTTAATCAGTAAGCGTCTGACACTCCCTCCCGTCTCACCCAGGCGGGAGCAGTCATTCGATGATTTTCCCCCTTTAAAACAAAAATGGGAGCTACTATATTTTTGCTCACCAGATGGCACTAGTGTGAACCTCTCGTTTTTCGTCCAATAGGGAAGTACCTAGTATTACGCTATTGGACGTTCAATATTAGACAGCTGCGGTGATTGGACAAAAATAAGTCGTCATGCATTGGCGCCATCTGGTGACCAAAGTCAAAGCAATTTTTTCAATGAATCCATAATGAAAATTGAAATTGAATTGTCCGTCCGTCTGGCTATCAGTGAAGCTAGGCGCTCGTTCTAAAGTGTAGTTTCTAATGGAGAAGAACAAACGAGAAACTCGATCATTACTCTTTTAAAATCGGTAGCTCCCATTTGTATTCAATCGATTTAAATTTATACATGTGATCATATAGTTAGTCTCTATTTTGCAGTCTTACTACTTCGAAACTATACCAACCGCAAACATACCCAATGATATCAAAGTAGATAATCAAATCAAACCGATTAACCGCATCCAACCTGAAATGCTTACAACTAGATACAGTACCTTATTCAGGTAGCTATGGAAGCTCTCCTGTATAGCTCCAAGAAGTCCCTCCTCATAGGCTCCGTCCTCCGAGTGTGACAGAATCTTGCTGATCACACTGAATACTTGTGATCTGATCCATGCAGCGTTAACATTTCGCAATGTACGTTAGACAGAATATATTTGAGTGTAAAGATAGAATAAAAAGTTTAAACAGAAATAAATAATGGATGCACAAAGAGATTGATAAATCCGGATAAAGTAAACAAGGTATGCTAGATTAGAATTCTTTTCGTTGTTTTAATCCATTAATGGATAACAGATAATAATGAGCAGATTGATGGTGTGGATTGGTTAGTATGAAGCTGGTTACTTCTATTTTTGTATGAAATATAAAATTATTTTTTTGAATGATGAACGACTACACTTGCATTTTTACTATCCTGCTTTTTGCACAGTATAAAATATCGCATACACAATGCCGGCGGCACATGTTACAGAGAAGCTACAATGAAGCCGACATCTTTTGAGGTCACCAGTTAATGCCTAACTTTGACAACGTACAAACTAGCCGTAGACACCGCCATGACAATATATGGAGAGACGAAGGACAGTGGAATGATTATGTCACCGGCATTGTGTAGAGATCTTAATATATCAGCAACGTTACCTGTGTAAGAATGTCCGATCGTGTGGTGAATAGTGCAGAGCCCAGCATCGAACGGCTTGTAGTCCTGCAGCACTGGCGGGTGGCAGAGATGGCGCCAGTGCGCTCACTGAACCGAGGAACGCGTGGAACGCTGCGCGTGCGCCACGAGCTGCGCGGGCGCCGGGACAGATAGCCGACGCTGAGGCGGTCGGGATTACCCCTCGAGGACTCTCGTTTACTGCATTCTGCTAAATATTAATTAATTTTGTGTAATTGTAGCCAGCTTATATTGTTAAAGCTATAACTAGATACATTCTATGTTGGAAATTCGAATTAAAACACGAGTATTCATTCACAGATCTATATCACGACCAGTAAACTATATGAGCGAAGTTTACATGTACGGTTCCTTTGGGTAACCTGGGGGTCGGTACGAGTCGACCTAATTCCTGAGGTGACTGACACTCATAAAGGTACTAAATGATTTGGACAAATACCTCTTTGTTATCATCAAGCGCAAGACTCGGCGGTGGAACAATGCGTGCAAACTTGTCGAGCGCATTGCAGAACCACCACATCACGTCATGTACGCACGTTGGTTGCGTAGCTGAACGTAGGAGCCAATTCATTGCCTGAAAGTAAACATAGATTATATTTTGATTATTATGTTATGAGTGCTATCACTTAAGTTTCGTGATGAATGCCTACATCTAGATAGTCTTGCTAGCAATAATGATTTTACAGCTGATTATTTGATATTATTCATAATGACTGGTTATTATACATAATAACCAAATTGCTGTTAATTCGTTAAATTAATAACTTTATCCAGATATTATAAATAACAGCGGGCTAAAGTTGACTAAAATGATAAATACGATCTAACGGCCCACTCGCGACCGCTAAGACAGCGGTGAGAAATCACGGCTGGACGACTAGCCGAAATGAACACTGCTGGGTCAAAATCCGCCGAAGTTTAGTACCTACTGATGGTGTTCAAGGATGGTAAAATAGATGGTGCTGTCAAAATGTAAATCCAAGATGGCAGCTGCACGATATTTTCAATTGATCGTCATGGGTGTCGTTTTCATGGTTTTCGAGGGTAGTAAACCCATTTTTTTTAAGGGGGGAAAATCATCGAATGCCTTCTCCCCCCTGGGTGAGGCGGGAAGAAGTGACAGTGGTAAAACCATTGTGGTGGTAAAACCAACGCCAAACCACCAATCAACCAACCAGCACCATCCGTTTCACCACCCTCGAAAACCGTGAAAACAACAACCATGACGATCGACTGAAAATTTCGTGTAGCTACTATCTTAGATTTACATTATGAAAGCACCGTCGGTTTAACCGCCCTCGAAAACAATGAAAACGACGATAACGAGCCACCGTGCCATATCGCTTATTAGCCCTGCTCATTTCACCTGCTTGTTTTATTACTTTATCTAAGTCTTCGAAGATATTATTTATAATAACTAGTTGTTGTGATTATTTCTGCTTTATTTATCACTTTGACCAAATTCATCAGTCATTATGAATAATATCAAATTAATGACTTTGGCTGTAACAATAACATTACTTTACTTACCTCAAAAGCATACTGTCGCACGGTATTTATTCGGATAGCAGCGTCCATTTTCTGTCTGTGCGCATGCAAATCTCGCTTCGACAGTATAAACGCCATGACGGGGCTATTCATGAGTGAGTCGGAATCCACACGTGGCGCCTCGAACGCTGATAAAGAAGCACCAGCCGTCCAGTCTCCGCAGCCAATCAGACGGCGTAATGCTGCACTAGGTTGAGCTAAGAGAGATGACCCAGCTCCTGGAACAAGAACAAGCAATGAAACGTGGACTGACTGGGAAAGTACCACCCTCTCACGAAATAAGAGTGGGAAGCAGTGATGTAATGTTACTACGTTTTGTCTAGTATGTAAGAGTTGCTGATATCTAATCCACCACTTTTTGATTATGACATAACATTTGGACTGGCTTAGGATAAAGCCGTACCGGTTGATACGCACATGTCATATTTTACCAATTCCCGATTGAGCAACAGTCACAAAGTGTAACTCAATTATGACAAACGTTCAGTACACAGAGCCGATTTAGTTATAAATACATACAAATGGTAAATACTGATTGAACAGACCACTTCAATATATTATACTACGTTAACAATGTTAACATTTGTTTTTTTTTTTGTCAATAAAACGTTAATATACGAAAATCAATTTAATGACTTGCCGGTGAGGGTATCCTGGTCCATAGGAGTATCTCGAGCGAGTGGAGGTCGGGCCGCGTTCGCGAGGTCTCTGCCTCCTGCCTGGCCCATTGACACTGAGCGGTGTACTCGAGGCCAGTTCGAACTCGTGTTACCCTCTATACCGCCGAATGCTGACGTCTGAAATAGAATAGTACATTATTAGTATATCACCGGTGTATATCCTTCATATTTGATTTCTTTATTTTGTCATACTTTAGTTTTCCTTGAACTCTACAAACATGTGTAAAACCAAAATTGGCCCAATTTTAAACCAATCATTACGGAGTACCGTATATTTCATCAACCTACATAGTCATGGGTACATTTCTACATAGTCACAGGTCCAATTTTGAAATCCAAAATTACGTGACATGTGGTCAATAAATATATACGGATTGATACCATGACCTCACAGAAAACCAGTGGGAAAACGTCGTGCCGGTAGTCACTGATCCAACCCCAATCCTCCTCCCTCCCCTTATCCTTGTCCCCCTTATCCTACTCCCATTATCCTTGTCCACCTTATCCCCCTCCCCCAAATCTCCAAAAAGTCGGCAACGTATTCATAATTCCTGTCGGTATTGCGAGTATCAGTGGGCGGCGCCGATTGCATACCACCAAGTGATTCATCTTTTCGTTTCATATAAAAAACCTATTAAGAAACTACATACCAGCGGAGCAACGGCTGGTGGCATAGGTCTGCCTAAAGAATGGTAGCGAGCTGCATCAGACGCAGCGAAGGCTTTGGGTGCGGCTCCTAGTGCAGGCAGACATTGGAACGGTGGTGCCGGTTGCCAGACACTGCCTGGTGGAGTCGGCGGACTACGGGAGGAACTGTCCGCCCATGCCGACATGCTGATTGGTTCTGTTGCAAAAAAAGGTGATATAAATGTTTACTGTAGTGTGGGAAGTAGCCACCATTGATTGACATACAATTTTAATACCTGTTAAGAATAACATGTTTGTCTGTTTGTATGCGTTTGCGCATCACTCAAAAATAACACTTGGTTTTAAATTCCACGTAATCCCTAGGGATATTACAAAATCCCGTTTGTAAATGTTAATTGACAATGAGGCGGATGCTGACCGCTCTCTCAAATTTGGGCTAGTCGTATTGGATAACGTATAGAACTGAACACTATTTGGCGGACTTTGATCTGCCTTTTTTAATCCGGCTAATCGTTTAACCGCCGTATTACAAACGGCCCGTTTTTCCATACGACTAGCCGTAATGCTATCCAGATTATAGTCTCATTCGCCTGCGATACATACAAGATCAAGACCAAAACTTACTAAAAATAATACACATTTAATAAAATAAAATTCATCATTTACCTGGATTTGTTAGCGGCGCCAAATCCAAGAGGAAAATAGCGTTCTCCTTGATGGTGCAATGGTCAATGCTCACTGGTTGCTCCAAGCGCTCGAACACCACCATCTCAGCCCTACTCTTAGCGCGTCCTTGTCTAACGGACGGAGCTGCTTTGATCGCCTTCTCATAGCATTTCTCGCAGAACATGTACCATAGCTGGTATACTGTAAGAAAAAAGGATAATAGAGTGAGTCTGTTGTATTTGTTATGGGAGCATGAGTGATTGACCAGATTTCAAGTAGTCTCTGATTAAGGTCCACAAGGGCGGAAATTCATGCTTCGGCACGAACGGGCTGGCTCAACCGGAGTAATACTACAACGTTACATAAAACCGTCGTTAAAAACGCTTACGTTTTGACAAACTGTGAATGAGGTTACCGGATGCACAATCCTCACACCCATCCTAATTCACAAATCCAAAATGCAGACAATATACTTGGAACTCCTCTGCTGTTACGGCGGCGGTGCTGATTGTTTACTGGCAGGTCTTCCATCTGCTCGTCCGTCTCTATCCCATTAAAAAAACTCAGAAAAAAAACAGGATAAAACGTATCACTTACTCTGAGCCATTTGTCCGCAATAAGATGTGGGTGGCAATTCTGGTCCTGGTTGCGGATTGGTCGGCTGGTAGGTGCCGGTACGGTCAAATCCCTTCGTGGTTGGGTTCTTACACCCTGGGTGAGCTGTCCTCATGTGTGCTGCTAATGGAGGCGGCACGTTGGTTCCCCCGCACAAGTCGCATTGGACTGAAAAAGTTAACACAAAAACATCAATTTTATACCCTTCATCCACTCTAGGATGAATGTTTTTTTAGGGAACACCGGGTCCTCTAACAGTCCTGTCTCGGAACCCTAAGAAACCAACCCCATCCCCCCAAGGGGTATGCACTTTTCGCCAATAAGTCCTTAGGTTTCATATAATAGATGACGGCCCTAAAGCTTTGTAAAGCATCGTACAATTTCATTGTACGTACTGTTGGGAAGGTCACAATGCATTATCAGAAATTAATGTATGGTCACATTAATTTCTGGTTTATTTGATTTTTTAAAATGAATAAAGTTATAAATACTATATCAGCGTCATATCGGTGTAAATACATACCTGAATAAGGTGTCTTGCCCGTCCTTGTATTCCACTCTCTCTTCTTACGGATACCGCTGTACGATTTCGCTTCATCGTTTTCATTCTTTTCTTCTTTCTTCAACCTAAAAGGTAATGTGAGAACATTTTAGCAACAAAATCAACTAATCACCTGATGGCAAAGTAGCCAAAGTACACTTGCGACACCAGGAAGAGGTATCATAAATGTGTTTTTAAAGTTCAATAGTAAATAACATAAATATCTTACTTGTCTGTAGCAGATGTGAGCTGGTCAGCGTCATAGAGAGCGTCCCAAAGCGCGACTAACGCACGCATCGCGGGCGGCAGCACGTTGACCACGTAACGTGAGGAACCTGCTGAGGAAACAAATAATAATGGTCATTAGGATTTTATAAAGTTTATTAAAAGGTTTTATCTTATAAAGACCAAACATTCCCATTTAGACTCATGTAATCAAATGTTTCTGATTACCTACATTACACAAAATCTGACGTTCAAAAGTGCCTTCTTGGTCTAGTTGAAGTAAATAATTTGGCCTTTTTTATAACCAGGTATCTATAATATTAAGTAGACGCTGCTAAGGTAATATAATCAGCGTATAGCCGCTTTGCAAAATACAGGATTTTTTTAGTCGCGACGCGATATTAACTCGTCGAGTACCGTCATTATAGACACAATTATAGAACAATAGGTTGCGGTCACCGGTGACCGCTTGGTGTTTGACAGTTTAATGATGACTCCAAACTTCCAAAACAACGCCATAATAAAGGTGTATACAAAAATGTTGTTCATTGAGATTATTTCATACCTGGTTCAGTACTGGGACCGGGTAAGTTTTCCTCTTCCCGTATTGGCGTGTCGAAGTCTACCTTGCGCATGCGACTGGTGCTCGCTTCGATGCCGGATCGCGTCAATGTCTCCAACGTCGTTGGATGAATACGTAAGTACAGACCTGGTAAACATAATTATAATTTACTAGTTACCGTCATCACTTTGATTTTTTTACGGAATAGGGACTAAAAGTTAAGATGGTATACCTGATGGTACACAATCAGCTCCACTTGCGGCTTGTGACCAACCGCAACAAAACGCAAGCTTTGCTTCACATTTACTGTTCCAGTAGATCTATCTAACTCCGAAAACATCTATCTAATTAGGAATTACAGCAGTTTTTTGTGGTTGTAACGGGCTTATTAAAAAACATATTGCTTCACCCCGGATGCTCGGTTAGGCCGGCTGATTCATTTAAAAAATAGTGGATTATGACGAAAAAACTCACCAGCATTAGAAACTTCGACGGAGTGCCTCTGATGTCGAGCAGGAGTGACGTCATGAGCCGGTCGGGTGACCACGCGGGCTCCCTGCTTGGGAAGCTGCGGGTGGAACTTTAGGAACGCTGCACAAGCGATGGCGTCGTGGACTATGCCTGGAGGAAGACCATATTTTTTTGTTATTTTAGGCGTATTGAATTAAAATTAGCGTTTATATTTTGAAAAGATTCGATTGTTCTAATTTTGTGTTAAAAAGAACATTCAGGACCGTTACATATTAATGGTTTTTGCCGAAAACAATTATGCAGCGGCCATCTTGGATTTATATTTTGACACCACCATCGGTTTTATCACCCTCAGAAACCATGAAAATTATAGCCTTGATGAAAAGTATAACATTTTGAGCAGCCGCGGTGGATTTAGATTCAGCCGTGTTCATTTTGGCTAGTCGTTAAGCGCGTGGCGTGATTTGGACGAATCGTGAGTGGGCCGTTAGATCGTATTTATCAATTTAGTTAACTTGAGCCTGCTATTATTTATAATTTCTGGGTAAGGTGTTTAATTTATCACATTGACTAGGCAATTTAGTTATTATGTATAATGACCAGTTCTGTTGATTAAATAAAATTGATAAATTTACATTCCAGTATTTATGTGTGTGTTTTTGTGTTAACAGAGGTGAGCCTATTTTATATTATTAAAATTAGAAAAATCTTTAATATGTCTCAATAGGTAACAGTACAAAGCCTAAAATAATACCCAACAACTACCTACGTACTCATAATAGAGTTATATTTAATATTATTCTAAGAACACAACGAGTAATTTGAGATAACAGCGGAAATAATTCCAAGAATAGTGTTATTACTTAGTCATTATTACTTAAAATATACTTAAAGTATGAGAATAGTTTCACAACAAAGTGACTCATATTTCCTAGGAGAGGACGAAATATCTTGTTGAGTTGAAGTTCTTGCTCCCATTCTTTGTGTACCTGTGTAATTGTATTGAACTTGTGAGGTTATGCAAAATCATAAAACCTGTGATTGTAGTTGACCTGTTTTGGGTGCAAAATCGTTAAATGAGTCGTTTTGTCCTAGATGACGAGTGAACTACATACTTCCAACTTTTGATTCCTGGTACCTATATGGCAATTTACTCGCGACTTAGCAAGATTGTCTTATAGGATTAAAATAAGTAAGCAGACGGCACCCTAAAATAAATATAAGACTATTGTCGGAATACTGAAACGTTACTCAATTTTAAGTCGCGCTTAAGTATAGTTCTGTCACTACTAATTCTTTGTGAAATGACAGAGATGGCACGATATTTAAGCACGACTTAAAATTGAGTAACGTTTCAGTATTCCGGCATATGAGCTCAAGCAGACTGGATGCGTATGCGTGACATGGGTGTCTACGATCTACGCATCTAGACTGCTCGATACCTAAAACCTGTCTGTCTTTAAATATGCAAAGAAAATTATACCTTCATGCCACAAAAGAGCGGCGAAAACCGCTCGTAAGCACTCGGCTTGCGCAGGACTTAGCGCATGTTTCCTTGGCGGGGGCGGCGCAGGAGCCGATCGAGTTGGTAGTGGCGGAGGCGATGATGTGCGCTTGTAAGCTCGTGAGCGACTTGGTGTCCGGTCTCGTGGCATTGCCTTTGGGCTTAAGCGGCCAGGTAGGTCCTGCTGGAAAAAAATAATGTTAATAGTTCTTTCCGGCCCTAGCGCATTTTCACATGCAGTGGTACAATGATTTCACAGAAAACCAGAAAAATTTTACGCTTGTATTATTTTTGCCGTCTGAGTGAGGTTCCTCAAATTCTCAACCATCAAATCCCTAACTTCTAAGAGGCTAGCAACGCACTTGTAATCCTTCATGTGTTTCGGGTGTCCACGAGCGGCGCTGATTGCTTACTATCAGGCGACCCGTCTTATTATTTACCGGACGGTCTCATAAAATAAACCAATCACTTATTCAGATAATACATACGTTTATCTTAGAAGGCCCCATGTAGAGCTGCATGGCAGTCATGCTGTCGCTTCTGTCCGGGGATGTCTGCGTGCCCGTCTGAGCGACCCGACTAGTGCGCGTCTCCACTAACAAAGGCTCTGGTTCAATGTCCGTCTGTAGAGAATACATAGGAAAATATAAATAAATAAATGTTAGAATCAGTTGATTTTCTAATAAAAGTTGAACTTAATCGAAATGGTAAAGACTATTTCTAAAACAAAATAAAAATATTTTATCAATTTAAATACTTTAAAACAAGAATACACAGTTCGGTAGCATAATTGCCGAGCTTGGAATGCGATGTTCAGTAGAATATGCCTATCGTATTTCATACTGTAAGCTCAGATTATGTGTATATGAAATAACTCCTACAACTACATTTCTTCCACAATTCTTATGTAAAAGTACTTACGCATGCAGATACAAAAATGTACTTATGCGCATGCGCATGGCTTCGTCGGTGTCATGTAACTTATGTATCTTATTGACATTAGTTTACCTACCATTATGGAAAATATTAAATATCACTATTTCCTTTTATTCATTTACAGAAACAAAATATATCGTAAGCCTCAATAGATAATTATTATTATAAAGGAAAGTAGGCTATAACGTACCTATAGTATTCCTGTGAACTGTATAATGTTATGTGTACTTGTAAGGAATGTACATTAATAATTAATTTATTAGGTTGACACTATTAGCCATCTTCGGCTTCTAATACTTATGTAGAACAATGTCTACAGTAATTTGTAATGTGAATAAATATTGTAATATTATCAAAACGTGCGATTTCGGCTGGGCATGCTCCCTATACAGCCGAAATCCAAAACAAATAGTACCAAGCACACACCGTGTGTATCCTTGTTAGTATTACAAGTACCTATAATCGAAATTGTTAAAAATTATTTCAAGGACATTGCCAACAATATCTTTATCATCAACATTCACTGTTTGACTGGTATTGTCTCCTAGATCAAAAAAAATAAAAAATAAAAGCTGTTTATTATAACAAAACCTTTTGACAAACAGTCTATGGATACTAACATCTAAACTTGACCGAGCCTGTACCTTACATGTTTGTTTATTTCTATTGACACAGAGTAATATTCACAGATAAGTAGTCCTAACACACACAACATATAACTTTTAGGCCAAGGACAGACTGGGGGACAAATGTCTCAAGACGTATCGGCGACATGTCAAGAGAAGCTGGCCGATGTCGTCTAACATATACGGGGCCAACGCGCGACTTGTGTGTGACGTGTTGCTGCCAGACATGTCTTCGGTAGTATAGTAGTCAGTATCCCCACCTATCACGCGGGAGACCGGGTTTCGATTCCCCGCCGGAAAGCCAAAGGTGTCAGTACACTACTAGCGGTCATCGCGTGTGCTCCCTCGCTCCTTGTAACACTCATAAACCTTTGGTCTGATTATTATATACGTTTTATTATTGAATTTATAACTGCCGTATCATTTAACCTACTACCAAATTCTACATTTCGAAAACTCGCCGGACTTGGCAATGTCACTCTTCTTCACCCAACGTCCCTGGCGATACGTATCGCAGGACATTTGCCTATTATTATATCATTGGCTGATAACATTGTGTGTTAAAATTGTAACAATAGTTTACTAACCTCCTGTATGGCATTGATATCAGTATTGTCTCCAAATCGCTGCCTAAGAGGTGACCACCAATCGTCGGCATTTCCATTGCTGCGCCGCTGTGAACGTCTGGAACAATATAGATAATTGTTATGATGTCAAAGTTTCATTAAGAGTATTTCAAGATGTATGTAGGTTTAGGTACTTCGTTTTTGGGAGAAAGAACATAATTATTCGGGTGTTTTAATTTAAATATTTTGGTTTTTTTTTTAGTAACAGCACAGAGTCTGTAATAGTCCCCAGTGTTTGTCTGTTATATGGAACTCATAACAAACTCGTGGCATGTGAACGTTACACCGCATACGTGCACGTCTGCTTACCCATTCTGAGATTAAAAGGCTATTATTTAGGCGATCATGACATAGGTGAAATTGTTTTGTGAAATTTTACATAGGTGTGGCCTTAAAACTAAACTCGCCATCTTTAACGTTTGATAACGAGTGACGCTCACAACACAACTACAAATAACATAACATAACATCACGCCTTTTTATCCCCGAAGGGGTAGGCAGAGGTGCACATTACGGCACTTAATGCCACTGTACAATG